CACTCGTACGCACAACTTAAGAACAAATCTGTGCGTACGAACGGTTCTTGCATGAGGCCCATTGAATGTTCTTTCAGTTCCTTCTGCTCATTTTTCATGATCTGTGGAGTGACGAGAGCTGTTGTGTAACCCACAAGTCTGAACGTAATGTTCCATCCAACATGAACACAAACGTAGGTGTGATGGCCGCCCGGCCCACCGGCCTCGACCAATCGGCAGGCAGCTGRGCTCGTTACAGCTTTTTCCTCCCACATCCACACCTGTCTGTATTTATACCCTCCGCAGATTCAACAGAGCCCTTCTGTTCCAGTGGGCACAAACACACAGTTTTACTGTAAGACGGACACACTGTGCTGCAGAACTTTAAAAAAAAACCTTTAATGGGCTGCAGATGTGAGCTGACTCTGTTTGGATGCAACCACATCAGATGACATCATTTACAAATGAACAAATGAGGTTTTGACCGATTCATAAAGARGAACAAACGAGCGGGTTTTCATCAGAAAATGAATGAGAAACCATCAAATTATCAAATCTTCACTCATGTTTTAACTAACTAAAAACAGAACTGTTAAAGGACCTGTGACATGCTTATCTGTCAAATACAAAAAMAATTTTATCTATATTTAAAGGGCACCTATTATGCAAAACTCACTTTTTTCATGTTTTTGAACTTACTTTTGGGTCTCTACTGCTTCGAGAAGCAGTCCAAACACTAAAAAAAATGCACCCAGACATTTTTTAACTGTAATAATATGTATTTTTAGGTATCTGGAAACGTTTTCAAAGCACGTTATTCTGACGTCACAATAACAGMCACCTAGCAACTTAAACCAGACTCCAGCTCCTCACAAGYCAACCCGAGGTGAAGCTCCACCCACTTCTTCACGGGACGACAGTTCTGCTGTTTTTATAGCAGCCATGGAGAACAGAGATTCCTGAATTAATTTTATTTTTTTATCTTTGATGACAGTGTTCTAACAAAATTGCCAAAGAAAGCTGTAGTTTGTGAAAATAATTTCACTTTGGAAATTTCTACCATGTCGGGGGGGCGGAGCTAATGTAAACAAACAGTTGGGAGGGGGGTTTCCATAACAACTTCTGCATACAGCACAAGCTGGAGAGAGCTGAAGAACAGGCAGGACTGAAAAGGTGAAATTTCATATTTTGAGATTCTTTTTGTGAATTGAATCAAATGAACATGTTTTGTATAGCCCACAGATGGATCCTAACTTGTGCTAGTACCCCCATAACAGGTGCCCTTTAAGAAAATTAGCATAATACYCATGGTTTTTACCCATTTTGTCTCATAAACTGGCATATTTTCTCTTGAATTTGGCTCAGCAAACTGAAACAGGAAGTGACATCAAAGGGGAACTCTTTAAGAAAAGGAACTCTCTTGATTTTTTTTTTACTGAAAAAATCTTATTTAAACATTTCTTCTGCTCTGATAGTGACTCAAAATAATCTAAAGAAACAGCAGATTCTTCTCTAATTATTGTAGCATCGCTCTGTTTACATGCAGACATTCCCATTTGACGCCACTTCCTGTTTCTTCACATGCAAATATCTAAACAACTGTTCATCTAAACCGTGTGAAGTTTGCAATATGTCATGAATGTTCTCTTTCCAAAAATGCATTCACATTTATTACAAAAATTTGATGTCACAGGCACTTTAATTACTTATTTCTTGCACAAAAAAAAAATTGTATCTGATGAGGTTTTTATAGTTTCTAGGTAAAAATAGGTGCTTTAATAAACCTAAATGTTCAAAGAAGCTGGGTGTTAGGTACAGAAAACTGTGAACATTAATGCCTACATGTAAATATTATTACTCATGACATTCCTAGTTTAGTATCTGCTAACTGTGTTTGGCCTTTTAAACAAAAATTGGGTAAAAAATWAAATAAAATTGAAGTTTTCTGCACCAACTCATCTCATCGAATCAAAGTTATAAAACTGATTTTGAKATCTTTTTGTTTCCAAACCACAAACGTTCACATGGCTCCAGTTACCGTCGGGAGGTTCCAGGTGACCCCCAGCATCGACATCCCCGACCCCGTCGCACCCGCTGCACCGCAGACGACCGGGAGCCCCCAGTCTGAGAGCAGCACGGAGGAGCAGGTGGAGTCTGAAACCAGCATGGGCACCTCCCTCACCATGTCCCCTCCTCACCCCGACAGAGGCACTTCCACAGGGGTCCAGCAGGAGGCTGGCAACCCACCYGGGTGGGCTGTGAGCCAGGAGCAGCAACAGCAGCAGCATCGTCGACACGACAGAGGAGGTGAAGGAGAAGAAGGTGAAGACGAGGAGGAGGAGGAGGTGCTGGAGGAGCGGTCGAGGGCGAGGAAGAGAGGGCGCAGGAGGACGTGCAGCCTCAGCCTGATGGGGACATCGGCCGACAGCGGCCTCTCGGTGACCGCCGCCGACCCCGAGGGGAGGCTGTGGGACGGCGCGGCGGGGAGCCCTCAGTACGGCAACGCTCTTCATCACCTGTGGATGACGACGTACAACCGAAACACCCCGTACCTGAGCAGCGACGACTCGGACAGCGACGGCGAGGAGATGCTGGTGGAGCTTCAGGAGCTCAGAGAGAAGTAGGTTTTCACTCTGGGCYTGAAGTTTCAGCCGTTTTGGGGGAAATTTTAATTTTTTTTATGTCATTTGTCAGACATCTGTCAGAGGTCCAGACTCTGCAGGCGGCCCAGAAGAGAGAGATCGAGGAGCTGTATGAGAGGATGGGGAAGGTTCCCCCGCCGGGCATCGTCTCTCCTGCTGCCATGCTGTCCAGTCGGCAGCGCCGCCTGTCCAAAGGGAGCGGCTTCTCCTCGTCTCGCAGGAACAGTCTGCAGCGCGTGGACATGGTGCCCCTCCAAGGTGACGACAGAAGGAACTTTAAAGTGCCTGTGACGTCAAATCTTTGCWWTAAATATGAAAGCATTTATTAAAGAGAACATTGATACCATACTGAGGAAAAAAATCATGCTGCTGAGATTAACGGTTGTTGAGATATTTGCGTGTGAATTAACAGGAAGTGATGTCACAATAGAACGTTGCTACAAAAGCTAACAGACTGTAGAGAAGAATCTGATGTTTCTTTAGAATATTTTGAGTCTATCGGATAGATGAAAACTCAAAATAATATTGTTTCAAAGAACAAAGACCACGCCCCCAGAGGCGAAACTGTACTTCCTGTTTTCTGTTTATTTTAATTTCTATTTATTTTAAAATCTGTCATTTTAAAGTTAACATGTTTGGTTTCAACGTAAAGTTTTTCTACATCCACCATAGTTTAAACCACAAAAAGTTGAATCAGAAAGTAAACAACTTGGACAAAATGGCATCAACATAAATCTGTAAATGTTTTGATCGTTTGTTTTTTCAAGAACTGCAAATCAAAGCAAATATGTTGTAGAGTGTTTTTAAAGATTTTTTAATAACCTTGATTTAGAGTAAATCGGCACCAGTTGGAGGCAAACATAATAAAATCTCATTGTTTTATACGAATAGGATGGAAAATAAATGTGTTGGTCATTTAAAAATAAAAAAACAACATTCCAAAATGAGATGTAAGAAAAAATAATACTTTAAATTAAAAACCTAAGATTTCTTAAAGTGCCTGTGACAAGAAAAATTTTAAATAAATATAAAGGCATTATTGGAAAAATAACATTATTAGCATTTTGCAACAACAATTTCCTGCTGCTGAGATGAAGAGTTGTTGAGATATTTGCATGTGAAGGAACAGGAAGTGATGTCCAAGGGGAACGCCTGCATGGAACAAAGCATTGKTAWAATAGCTAACGACAGACTGTGGAGAAGAATCTGATGTTTCTTTAGATTATTTTGAGTCYCTATCAGAGAGATGAAGAGTCAGAGTTCAAWTAATATTGTTTCAATAAACAAAGWTWACAGATTTCCCCTTTGATGTCACTTCCTGTTGCACTTTYGCTGAGCCAAGTTCAAAAGAAAATGTGCCATTTATGTGACAAAATTGGTAAAATCACGTTTTACGCAAGGTTTCTTATATAAAAGTGTTTTCTTTGACTTTATGTATTTGATGAATAGGCATGTCACAGGCACTTTAACATTTACCAACATGGTCAGTCCTGTGCTGAATAACAAAATGTRGTTATTTCTTTACTAAAACCTCTAATTTTGCTCTAGTTTATTTTAACAGCATGAATCTTTGCACAGGTAATGTCTATATGTAGATTTATGGTTTCCAAGAGCTTTTAGCCTTGTTCATTATACTTTTAAAAGGGTTATAGATGTTATAGTAGACTATTTRAGTGGTTTATAAATGCTGAGATAGTTACATTTCACGTTATTTTAAACAAAAACTTCAGAAAAACCTTTGGGGCTGAATAGGTTAGAGTTCCCCTTTGATGTCACTTCCTGTTTCATTTTAACCGAGACAAGCTCAAAAGAAAATATGCCAAATGTGACAAAATGGGTAAAATCCTTTGCTTTATGTCAAGTTTCTTAAATATAAAGATGTTTTCYACTTTTTGTATTTTAAGGATATATGTCACAGGCACTTTAAGTTATTCCAGACTTTATTTGACCACCGCTCTGTTTAACCAGGCATCATTAGGAGAAACTCTCTCGGCAGCAGCAGCAGCGGCTCGCAGGATAAACACAGTAAAGGCGTCACCTTTGCCAAAGACATAAGTAGAATGGTGAGGGAAGACAGCTGCTATAACAGATGTTTCTCAGCTTTCCAAGTAAAAGCTAAAAAAAAGGCTGATCTGTTCTWTTTGTTTTCCAGTAAGACGCAGCAAAGCATGCTGAAGATCTGGACTACCTCATCTGAAGTGGGACTGCAGTCAAAGCGGTCTTTAACCCCYCGTCACCGGCACGCCGATCAACACWCTGCTTCCCTTCGTCACCAATCACACGCCGGAGCTCACTTACCTCAAACTGATAGAAACTGTTACTGATGGAGCGTCCAGCTCTCACATCTGCTGACATCGCTGCAGCTCAGTGTGTCTGCTTTCTGTTAAAAGTGACATTTCTCTCTCTCTCTCTCCTGTAAATAAATGGTTTGGACGTATTGAACTTGCTGCTGTTTCTCTGCAGAATCTCACTTTTACGTTTGCTTTGACGCAGTCCAGTCATGGTACGAAGAGCTGCAGGGATGTGGCGTTTAGCCGTGAAACTGGCCCAGAACCACAGAAACTTCACCTTGAAAAACGACTTTAATGTGATCTGCTAGCGCGTGTTGGGAATGACTCTCAGCTACTACCACACCAGACTTTAGCTCATTATCTGTCAAATTCACAAATTCCGTTTGTCGATTAGCTGTGGCGGCCATCTTGAATTCGGTTGACTCCAGAAGTTAATCAGTTGTAGGTGCACATTTACTTTTGAAGCATTTCATCGACATCTGTCCTGTGGTTCATGAGGTATTTTGCTAATAAATMGAGTCCAGTTTTTACTGGTTATAATTGCAGAAGTTGGGAATGGCTCCCAGCTACCATCACACCAAATTTCAGGTCAATACCTGTAAAATTTACTGAGCTATACCCATTTTTGTGTTAAGACTGCTTCGCGGTTTAAAAAAAAATCTGATTTAAATACGACATTTTAATTTATTCAAATAGGTTCACACTGTGCAGCTGTGCTCAGACATACTTTATGAAAATGTGATGCTTCTTTAAGACTATATATATATATATATATATATACACACACACACACACAAAAAGAAGTTGGTTTTAAGCCATCAATTAAAAAGCTGGTACAGAAACATTAAGCATGGTTTGAAACATGGGGGAAAAGTAGATTTTATATTCTTTAGTTGTGAAAATCCACTTTTAAACTACTGGCTTCCTTGTTGACTGTACATGTGTAAAGAACTGAGTGATTTTATAGAATATGTTTACAGTTTTAACTGAATACTTCTGCTTTACGAGGAAAAAAAATCACATTTGTCGCTTGTTCTGTAGATCAAGCTCCTTGTGCACTTTAGCAAACGTTCTTTTAGTTCTGTTATTCAACATATTTGTGGTTAAACTTGTTCATTTTGCCTGTAATGGAGGAAGAATATCTTATGTCTTTTCATTGACTGTGCTTAAAAGATATTCAAGGTGTGAATCTGTAGCTGTGGCCTTATAAAATATTCACCTGGCAGTCAAAATCTTGTAATATATTTCCAAGGGGGGAAAAAAATAGAAATCAGATTTTTGAATGTAAATATATATATAATTGTGTTGCTTCCTGAAGCTGCTGTCCTGCCAAGCTGAATCTGTGCCTTTCTCTAACGATGTCTTACTTTATATTTTTATTCAAGATCCTGTTGCTAGAACAGATGTTAAATTTTAAACAAATAAAAGCGATTGTAAACACMTTGGCTCTTCTGTTGTACAGACACACTTAGACGGTCCGGTCAGGTTCATTTAATTCAAATTCACACTTCAACAACATAAACAACAAATTTAACCAGACTGATGAATGTGTTTTCCTTCTAGTGTCACTGGTAACTCTTTTGTTGAAGGCCGCTGCAGATTTTAAAGTTCCACAGTTTGAATTTTCCTCGCATTGTGTGCACAAAGCTGGAAACTTCAACTTATAGGCGGCGATAAAGCAACAGTTGGAGCTAAGTGGAACATGCTGGGGTCATCTGATTAGTCCCTTCCACTGAAAGGAGGTCTAATAAAGATCAAGACATGTCAAATGTTAAATTCAACAAAAGCAACCCCATCATTCCCCCTCTGAGTCCGTGAGTCCAGGCATAGAACCAGCGACATCATCTGTCTGCTCTGGTTAAGTGCAGGATGAACACACGGGTCCCATCAACGCCCGACTCAGTTGGCTCCAGTCTTTGGTCCCCGCAGCCTTGCACGCTTGGCCTCCTCGTCGAGCTCATCCATGATCCGTTCCTGGGATACTGAAAAAAATGTGTAGCCATCTGATTTGGGAGCAAAAGTGTCAAGGCTAATATATGAGATTAGGAGGGGGAAAGCAATGTTAATATGACAAAGGAATGACCAAGTCGACTATAAGATTGTAGAACAAGAGAGGAAACAAAGTGTTAAAAGTCAAAGTCATAAAATACATAGTCTTAGTACACTGCATTTGTTACGGAATATGAACTATCAACAATACTACATAATACTACTAATACATACTATCAACAATAGCTGATTTTCTAGGTGTGTGCTGATAACAGTTATGGGGCTAAAACACAATTTCAGATTCATGATTTGTCAGATTAAAGTCCGTTTTCTGCTTCAACTTGGAACAATTTAAGGAAACTGATGTCTTGGAGGTGATGATGTCTCTAGATCACGGAGGTTACATGTGTTTAGTTTGATTAGCAGAACCCGCCTTAAATGATCGCTCATTTAGTTCAGTGTTAAATATGAAAACATAACGTGATGCGTTCAGGAAACCTCGAAAATCTAAACACCCGGAAGTCATCGATTTCATTTTCTCGTAGCCTCTCTTCTAAAAACTGAATTAGGAAACATTTTAATGTTTTAAAGTTCTAGATAGCATTATTAAGTGTGATTTCAACAAGAAAAATGCTTTATTCGAATATAAATAGCCTACTTCCATTCCAAATAAACCCTCACAAGTACTTAGCTAACCAAGTTAACATCAATAGTTAGTCAAATCTTCAATTAACAGTTCAATCAGTCTATAACACAAACTTATATGACAACATATTATTCAATAAATATTCTGCCGTGATAAAAACTTCTACTCACAAGTTACAGAGTAACTATAGCACGTTAAGCTAACGTTACGTAGTTCACCTTGTGTTTGACAAGGATACAAATTCCCAGCACGACCGCACCGATGGCGAGTCCTGTCACAATATTTCGCACACGGAGCTGTGGCGTTTTCCTCTTCCACTGCTTGAGCTCTGCTTGTCTGACAAAGTACATCTGTTCGCCAGAAAGATCCTCTTTATTCGGATCTATCCTCTGTGCAAAAGGAGCGTTAGACTCTGGAGGAGGTTTCTTGTCAGCCATGTCTGAATTCAAGAGGAGGAGTGGAGAAACACGCCGCTGACTTTCAAACCATCTACCGCGCTGTTTGAGTTCAGGTGCACAAAGCGTAGCCCGTCACTAAGTTGTCAGATCTGTGTTAACGTATCGATAGGAAACGCAGGCTGACGACACTACGGTGGCCGACAGGTGCAAATACTGCAAACAAAAAAAAAAAACGATGCAAACTAAAAATGCTGCATTCATAAATTGACTGCAAATTAGAAAACGTTGCAAACTTCAAAACATAAAAAAATCAAGAAAAAGAGGCCGCAAAGAAAACAATTCATGCAATCTAAAAACCGACTGTTAGAAAAATTATGCAAGTTCAAAAGCACACGGCTAGGCCTACCAGTGACCCCGGGCCAGCAGAGGTACTGGTCAAACGCCCTGGGCCATGGCAACTGGTAAACTCTTTTACTTTTAATAGCAGTTCATATTTAGGCACGTCTGGAGGAGGACGGGTGCTGACGACTGCTTACATGAACAGATAATCCGTAATTTACACAAATTTTCCCTCATTTTGCAGGCAGCTATTCAGACAGAGCAATCTCATATATCTTTTCAAAAACTCATCTTCAAAATTATTTTCTATCAGAGCCTAGGACGCTAAAAAACAATAAATAAAATTGAATAAAATATGGGGTTCCATTTGTGCCAAAATTATGTTGTTGCGCCTTTGTTCATGTTGTTGCGCCTTTGTTCATGTTCTTAAACCTTGTGTTTAATAACACAACCATTTTTTTTCCAGTTTTTCAGCTAGAAATAAGTTCACCAAAATGCAGCTTGCGCTGTTATCTAAAATTTAGTAAAATTTGATTTGTTGATGAAATAGGCACTCATACAAACGGCTGTCTGAGAAGTTGTCATCTTCTTTTGTAATCTTTTTATTTATTTATTTACTTTATTATTATTATTATTACTATTATTGTTGTTTTGTTTGTTGCTTTTTTCTCTCTTGTTTCTTTTTCATTTTTAATTGATCATCAGGGTGTGAAATCGTTATTTATGTATATGCTATTAGTCAAATGGGGTCAGTGTTATTCTTTCTGCTCCTTTTCATTTAAAGATATTGTGTCTGTGTTTTGTTGAAATTTTTTTATTAAATGAAATAAATGATGATAAAACTTAAATATGTAAGAGTGATCAGGAGTGTATAATTCCTCACTTCACATTCTGTGTCACCAGCTTCCCGTCCCAAAATGAATACGTATGAGTCAACTTGTTTTTTTAAATCTGTTTATACTAAAGTTTACCCACAAATTTTCATTAATTTGATATTATGTGATGGTTTTACTTTATGAAATTATTTTTTGAGTTTTTAACACTTTTGCTTTTACAAATGGGCTGTGAGTGGTAGATGAAGCATAAAGACGTAAATTCATAACAAAAATAGTTTAATAGTTTTTAACAGGGTTACAGCAAAGTTTGTTTACTTAAACTGAGGAAATCTGGTCATAATAATAATAATAATAATAATAATGTTAACAGGAGATCTTCCTGCTGCACCATTAATGTGAAGTTCCACTGTTGTCCTGCAGGGGGAGCAGCGAGCTGAACTCAGTGCAGTTTCTTCTGGTCCATCTGGGCCTGCTCCCTGGCTTTCCTCCTCTTCAGCTTCTTTTTGAGGAGGAACAAGTCGATGTAGATGATATGATCCAACACTGTGGAGGCGCAGAGGAGTCCTCCATGTAGAGCTCCTGCTATCCCACAGCTGAACACGTCCTGACCTGAAAACACACAACATGAAGGATGATACACTGTTCTTACAAAAATCCTTTGACAGACAAACGTTAGAGCAAAAAGTTAAACTTTTAAGATAAAATCATCACACTGCAGCTGAGCTCTCATATTTAAAGGATGTGAAAGATTTTAAGGGCTCATAATGTGTCTTTGTAAAAGTTTCCTACCTGAGATGTAGAGGTTTTTAACGGGGGTGCTGCACCGGTTCTTGGCTACGGCCTCTGCGTAGAACCGTTCCAGGTTATGTTCTGCAGAGTACATGGCTCCACGCTGAGCTCCCAGGTAGTGCATGTTGGTCAGCGGGCTCGCCACGTCCTGGAAAACCAGCTAAAGAACCGGACAAATGGAAGACTTTTTAAAAAATATATTCTGAAATGCTTTGAATAAAAAAGCTAAACTAATCAGGACAAAAAAATAACATTAACAAAACAAACATCAACAGCTGAAATCAGCTAAATAAAAACCACAAAATCATAGCTAAGAGATAAAACTAGTAAAACAAGGGCTGAACTTTCAAAGCAGTAGCTGAACGATAAAACATCAAAATAGTTTCTAAAAGCTAAAATGAACAAAACAGCAGCTAAAAGATAAAACTAACATAACTGCAACTAAATGTGAAAATTAGCAAAGTGAGTAAAAGCTGTTATTTTCCAAACTTTAGCTAAAATCCTTTAAAAACTGTAATTAGCAGAACAGTATCTAAAAGCTACAATTGCAATGTGCTGAAGTAAACTTCAAAAAGCACAATCTGAGTTACGTTTCTAATGTACATTTATGAGAAAAAATGTAAATAAAGTTAAATGAAGCTCAGAAAGTAAAAGTTAAACCTAAAGTTTTAGCTGTGATCTTAACGAGCTGAACGCTTTTGACACGTGAACAGTTAAATCAGCTGAAAGCTTGTTGATGTAGTATAAATAAATGCTGACTCAGCATTCACACAGTCTACACATCTGAGACACAAGCTTAACAAACACTGAAAGTAGCAGGGTTTTTTTTTTTTTTAACAGTAAATTTTAAAACGGATGCTGAGAGATCCCACCTTGTCTTTAATTTTAGGGAACACGGTGCAGGCCCAGGCAAAGAGGTTCTTGGCAAATCTCATTTTGTAGTCATAGTACTCGTCACCCCTCCTGCGCACCGTGGTGTCCTTCCACTCTTCAAACCACTCGTACTTGACCATGGTCAGGATTGTCATGCAGGATTTACCTGAAAGAATCAAACAAAGCAGCTCAGGTGTCTGAAGTCAGAGTTTTAAATAAGGTCCAATCATTATTTATTTATTTATTTATTTATTTATTTATTTATTTATTTATTTATTTATTTATTTATTTATTCTACAGTAAAACCAGTGGTCTGTACCTGGGTGCCTCAGTTTGGCCTCAGGGTCTTTGGCAGATGGGACTGTGATGAACATCATGGGGATGTTATCTGGAGCGTCTTCTTTACTCAAAGCAAAGAACTCTTCCATCCTAACAAAACAACATTTATTATTTATACAAATGGCTTTGAAATATAAAGTACCATCAATGTGTTTTTTTTTTTGTTTTGTTTTTTTTGTCAAATAAGAGGAAATGTAACGTGCATGATTAGGTTTCAGTTCCCTGATTATTCAACAGCGCCCCCTTGTGGTTGTGAAATGATGCTCCTGTGTTCAGATTCATGCTTACGATTTATCCATGTCGTTGTCTTTGAACAGCCAGAAGTTGGTGGACACCAGGCCCAGTTCCTCCTCGGTCCCATCGAGGCCACAGAAGACCAAGAAGGATCCCCTGCCGTGTTTCATCGAGCTCAGTCGTTTCTGAACATCTYCAGTAAAGGTTAGTTTGTTGTTAATGTTACGGGATGCCTTTCTGCTTTACCTCGGAGGAGAGCAGTCAGTCACCTGGTTTGGCCCGTATCTCAGGTGGGAGGAGCTTCTGGAAGGTGGTGAAGATGCCACAGTTGGAAACCACTACAGGTGCGTGAACCTCGACCTCCTCCTGACCTTTCCTCACCTTCACACCTGCCTCACAGCAGACACAGTGTATTAGCATTTCAGCCTGTACAACCGAGGCATCAAGCTCGTTTCAGAGGGCTGCAAAAGAATAACGGTTGTAACGAACTTCGACGTTTCAAGTTTAACTTTGACCAAACAGGAAGCGTCACGTGCCTCGTCACATTATGGCTGAGCACCACTGAGCTCTACCTGGTATTTCCTGCARWGAAWGTGTTTTAACACYTCCTCTTATAAACAATGAAAAGTACTACGAGTARGACTGACTAAATGTGAAATAAAAAATACAGAAATATGATTAAAAGTAAAACAAGTTTTCTTGTATGGTTTTACTCACTGATGAGTTGTGTGCTCTCTTGAATTCMGAACTCTCTCACTTTCCAACAGGAAATTCCCACTGGAGGGGGATTCCATTTAAAATTTACAACTTGTACGTGGGAAATTKCTACCTCCCAGTACAACTGGGCTMACAAAAARGCGYTGAAATGGAGATCTTACYWGGTGACATTCGCTGGCTARGATTGAACCCTGTGCATCTCCAGCTAGTGGTGAATTGCCATTAATTTGCGAGTAAAACAATCTGGGAGATGTAGTTTATGGTCAACGCTYGCTTTAAAGCAATACACTTTTATTTTAAGACAATAATTCCTTGTGTTTGCGGGCCACATAAAATGCTGTGGCAGGCCACATTTAGCCTGCGGGCCTTCAGTTTGACATGTTTGCTCTAWTGGGTTAGTTTATATAAGTTAATATGATAGCTTTTTGAACAGCCTAATTTTGAACAAAATAGTGTTTAATTTTGATGATAAGCTAAGGACGGATGAATAAATAAGGAAATTTCATATCGGTTCCAGCTAACACTATTTTACAAAACTTTACAAAGCTGTCCTGTTCAGTTATTATGCTGCTGCCTTCACAGGTGAGCAGTTTGTGTGCATTTTTTATGGTTATTTGATTGTCTACGACAGGTAAGATATTATTTGCTCATAACCAGACTTCAAAAGACCTGAACTGTTCCTTTAACAGGTAACCTGGTTTTGGTTCTCACCGTAAGCCGCTCCCTTGTCGTTCACCAGGATCTGCGAGACGGGAGCTCTGACCAAGCAGTTGCCTCCATGTCTCTGAATCGTGCGGATGATGTGGAAAGCGATCTCGCTGGCGCCTCCTTTAGGGTAGTATGCGCCTCGTTTGTAGTGATGAATCAGGAGGGCGTTGATCAGAAGGCTAGATTCTTTAGGAGGAACTCCTGCGTGGAATAAGAGCAACACTTCAGTTTTTATGCAACAGAGATACAAACAGATTTGAGAGTGTTGATCACATCTGCTCTAAAGAACAGCAGACCTGTTAAAGACCCACCGTAGAAGAGGTAAGAAAAGAGAATCTGCAGATCTTTGTTTTTGGTCAGTGTGTTCATGAAATCTGTTGCACATGTCCCCGAGAGGCGGAAAACCGGAGAGACAAGATCTGCGATTCCCGACTTCAGCAGGAACAAAGAGACCCACTGAGGGATCAGCTTCAGAGACGCCAAATAATGAGTTTTCTTAGCTGAAATCTGTCAAGTTAAAGAACAAATAAAAAAAGAGTCCAGTTAGGACAGAGGCTGGACTCGGATGAGTGTCCACCAACAATAAATACCTTCATGATTTTGAAGAACGTCTCGATGGCCTCCTCCTCAGCAGGGAATTGTTTTATTAAGTGAGTTTTCATCTCGTTTTTCCCAGAGAGAATGGTGTATTCCCGTTTCTCGTCGCCCAGACCGATCTGGATGGTGTCGAAGTGTTGATTCAGCTTCTGGAACTCCAGCTGGCCCTCTGTGATCTGGTCGAAGACGACTCGTAGCAAACTGTTCTCATGGACCTGGCCAATGTAGTGAAGACCTGAAGAGAAGATTTATTTTTTGTAAAGTTGCTTCTGAGTTTTTCTTCTTGTCTGACACATTTGTCAGACAAGTAGCTCCAAATTTGACTCTAAAAATACTTTTCTAAACAGAAGCCCAAACCACCCCACCTCCTCCACCGTGCTTTACAGTTAATGTCAGGTTTTTCTGTTGATRTGACTGGTTTTGTTAGTTTGGACCTTCTTACCGACGTCAAACTCAAAGCCTTTTTCTATGTAAGTGTGGCAGCAGCCTCCGGCCTGGTCGTGCTGTTCRAGAACCAGAACTTTCTTTCCAGCCTTGGCCAGTGTGGCTCCAGCTGTCAGTCCACCGATTCCACTACCGATCACGATCGCATCCAGGTTCTGGGGCACTTTGTCGACGCTGAAACCTGGGCAGAAACGCACAGGAACGCTGTTAAATTACTGTGATTTTAGTCCACTGTGAATGTGTTATATAACAGTCTGAAGGTTGTAACCCACACCTTTCACAATCTGTTTATTGTAATCTAATTTAGATAAAGCTCACGTAAAAAACTAATTGCATTTCTGCTAATTTAGATCTGATCTTCAGTAGCTTTTATAGCACAGCAGTTAGAAACAATATAAAAGGTATTAATTTAAAAAYGTACAAGCTTTAAAGAGTAGCTTTAAATTCAGGTAAATGATCCTTTATTAGACCGATAGTGGTACAAACCTCCACACAAAGGCAACCAATAGGAAATATGTGAAACACATAAGAAAACCCAGTCCTATTTGGAGCTCAATAAATCAAACATTCACCACAGTAGATCACATGCATCAAACTAAAGGCCTGTGGGCAAATTGTGGCCCACCATATCCTTTTATGTGGACCGCAACTGCTTCAAAGATGTATTAATGTATTAAAATAAGCTGCTTTAAAGCCAGCATTGATCATAAACTACACCTCCCATAATGCGTGTTGATTATTTTACCCGTYAAATGACAGCATCCCACCATTAGCTGGAAGTGCACAGAGTTCAAAAGWAGCCYTTAGCTGGCAATAATCACCGAGTTAAATCTCCATTTATCTGCATTATCAACAGCAACTTTTGCTGCAGCTCAGTTGTACTGGGAAGTGGAAATTTCCCACTTATAAGTCATAAATTTCAATTGGCATGTCCCTCCTGTGGGAATTTCCTGTCAGAAAGTGGGAGCATTCAGAATTCTAGACAGCACCACAACTCAACAATAAGTAATACTCGGTTACTTTTACTTTTAATTGTATTTCTATATATTTMATTTCACATTTAGTCAGTCGTGCACATAGAGCTTTCTTAGTGTTTAAAAGAGGCCGTGTCAAAACACTGTTTCTATGCAGGAAATACCAGGTAGAGCTCAGTTATTGTTTGTTAGAAGTGGTCAGCCATAGGGAGACAAGGTTTCATGTTTAGTTAAAGTTAATTACAACCTTAACGCAGTAGAATCATCATTCACAGTTAAAATACTACAGAAAGTTGTACTTTACATATTTGTACTGGCATTTTGATACATGGATGGATGGATGGATGGATGGATGGATGGATGGATGGATGGATGGATGGATGGATGGATTTTGATACATTTTACAATATTTCAGTTTTTACTTTTTTTCCCCAAAATATTCAACCGTTGATGTCTCACTCTTACTTTAGAGCTGTCTAAAAGTTAAAAAACTTATCACACACAAGCTCTTTTTACTCACAACACTTTAGGTAACATATACAAATTATACATCAGATTGTAGGATTTTTTGTCTTCTTTCATTTAGAATTTCTCAGTTTTAAAGGACTTGTGGTTTCCTCAAATCTCCCCAGAGTGCAGAGAGCACTRAAATCCAAGTTTCCACAGACTTCAGGTATTCTTTAGCTCAGAATGTCTTTAAAATGAAAACTGAAGGATCTTTTTAATTGATATTTTCCACATAAAGCCCTGAAACCATCAGAGTCTTCTGCTGCTCACAGCGCAATTAAAAATAAAGACAGAGGCTTGATTTTCAGTCTGTTTCTGTCTGCCTCTTACACTTCTTGTACGGCTCGTACAGTGAAATGTGTTTTTTTTTAGCTCAGATTATTCCAAATTATTAAAAAGTTGCAGATGCGAATACACATTGTGTTTTCTGCAAGCTTTTAATCCGTTTTACCTTGCTTGATGACTTTGTCCCTCTTCTTCTGGTCAAACTCACGAGGTCCTGGGGGTCTCACCGACTCCAGCGAGAAAGGACTTCCTTTACCAAACAGGTACCAGTAGGTGCCACCAGCCCAAATAACCAACAAGATCAGGATAATTAAGAGCCACATTTTAAAAAATATATACTGTATATATCTGAAATCAAATAAGTGTCTCTGCAGCAGAAGTTTCTCAGCCGTGGTTGTTCTGCATCTCAGAACGCTCCTTTTATTGAGCTGCTGTGCCAAAGGTCTGACTGAATTGACCGTAGCATTGATATGTAACGCTTTATGTTATGAAAAGCAGTAAAGATAAAAAAAAYGTCCAAAAACCCACTTTTCTCGTGATAACGGAACTAAAGTCTATCGCTGCACGAATCACAAGAAACACAGTTGGTTCTCTGTGTCTCCACTCATACTGACATCATTTATATGTGGTTTTATAAAAGATTTGTTGTTGGGTTTTTTTATTATGAACTACCGTTACAGACTGTAAAAAGGTTGGTCATAAGATATGATAAGCGTCATTACCACATCCTGTAATGCAGCTAAAGCTGAGGTTATATTGACCTTTCTCTGATGGTCCTCTGATGTTGGATTTGTTTGAACTTGTATGACCATGAATTCTCATGTAAAAAAGATAAAAATATCAATTTATTTGTAATTATAGTTGCACACTTGCAGAGCATGCTGTCTTATCGGAATACTGACTTCATAATTTTGCTGTAAAATGTGTAAAACAGTTTCTGACAGATGGGATAAAACTACAGCTCTTTGGCTTCATTTTATGCATATTTTTGTAGAAGGACTCAAACAAATTTATCCTTGTCTGTAAATTAATTATGCAACAGCTCTTATCTGATAAGACAATTAAGATAATTTATGCATGACAGCGCTTTAGCCTGTTTTATGCCTTTACAACCTGCAGCTGATTTAAATCATTAAGTTTCAAAATTCAGGTCAGAAACAAACAGCTGTTGTCCTTTAACACAAATAAAACCTGTAAAACTTTAGAAGATGTGAACACTTATGTAACTAATCGTATCTACAGATATATATAATCTGAAAGATGATGATCAACTTTATTACATTTCAAGTCGCGTTATCTTCATTATGGCAGAGATATCTTGGCTCGCTATCGTTTTCCTGTGTCTGTGCGTGGACTTTACACTAAAGCTTTACCATTTTTCTTATCTTGCCCCTGAGCTGCAGAATCTGCAGCCAGAGATAAAATAAAACCCAACAAATGACAAAATAATCTACTTTTTTTTATGAATAAACATTTGGGGTGCTAAGTGTAGAATAAAATGTTTTAAAAAAATGCCACTAACTTTCATTATTTCACTCACTCTGAGTGTTAACATTTTTCCACTAACATTTTATTGTTAATTAGCTCGCTGTTCTTATAATTTGCTAAAAAAAAAAAAAAAAAAAAGAGCAACTGCAAATACTGCTGAAGATAGTATTCAAAATCTAAATTCAAAATGTGTTAATTGAAAACAGCATGGATCGTACAGTGGTCCAGAATTTTTAGGCGCAACTTGGACACTTCGAGTTTAATATCTATGGAAGCGTTAGCAGCATTAATAGCATTAGCATTAGCAGCATTAGCAGCATTAGCAGCATTAAAAATGTTAGCAGCATTAGCAGAATTAGCAGCGTTAGCATTAGCAGCATTAGCAGCATTAGCAGCATTAGCAGCGTTAGCAGCATTAGCAGCATAAAAAATGTTAGCAGCATTAGCYGAATTTGCAGCGTTAGCAGTTGCTGTTGTCTCAAGGTTATGACATCATACCYAGCACCGAGCACCAACAGCAAAGGCTGCATTCCATTGTGTCCGAAATATGTAAAKTTCAACATTTAATGGTTGCARTTAGATTTACACATTTAGCTTTAAGATTTAATGTTTACATATAATATTTAACATTTAAATATAACATTTAGTCAAAATTAYTCAAATGAAAAACAGTGAGATAAATAAATAAAATGTTAGTGGATAATTTTTAACWAGGATTTTTACACAAGWGAGRTACATTAAATAATGAAAARGTGTTAGTTTTGTAACATTTTATCCTACATCTGGTGCTCTGTATAAGCGTTAAATTTTGAGGATATTATTGACTTTTTCCAAAGTGTTTGTTTGTTGATGCTTTCCATCTTTCTTCAAACAGCCAAAGAAACGTATTTGCTCAGTGTACTATAGAATAAAAACATAACACTCTAATATTATTTTTGCATAAAAAAGAGGGTAAGCCATAAAAACATGCACTTTAAAGCTGCACAGTCCAAACACTGCTGCAGGAATGTGGTTTATTGGCTGCAAAGTGACTCTGTAATTGGATGGAGAGCTGAAGATGCAGAGTGCAGCTTAAAGAGTTTATTACAGGAAGCAGCTCTGTGTGTCAACAGGCCCGTCTGACCAACAAATCCTATTAAGATTCAACTCCTTGTGATTCCACCTTCTTCTACTTGTTTTATTTATTTATTTTTACAAATGAACCTATGTGTTAAAAATGAGCGGGAAATCAGTAATCAAAGCAGACAGACCAGGTTTGAACATCTATTTCATTTATTTACAGATTAAACACAGTCTGCAGGTTGTGATGCTAATATTACATTTTCACTTTGTTTAATTTAGTCCACAAAAGCGCAACAAGAATGTATCGTGAATGGAAGCAGCTATGATACAAWAACAGTGAGACTTTTCCTTTATGTGTTATGTTACTACACAGCCTCCTTTGTCTCCCTTGTAGGGGTTCTTGTCATCTGAAACGCCCTTTATCAGCGGGTCGTTTGGCAGCAGTCCTTCAACAAAAGTAATGGTTTCGGTGCAGTTTGCACTCACCTGTTGAAGAAAAACATAAACACATTCCTGTTTTAAAATCTGCACGGCACTTTATAATGCAACATAATATCATGCATTTTGGTTTAATGTAAAAAAATATAAAAATGTATGCAAAAAGAAAGCAGATTGTTTCTTACTGGTGTTCTCGGCGTGCTGACTTCCTTTTTCAGCTGGTCCAGTTCCATTTTCAGGATTTCTTTATCTGACATATCCCGAGCCATCCTGACTGTAAGAGGAGGTCGATTATTAGAACAAAGCCCAAAGCTTCAAAAACACGTGAAGCCTCAGATGTTTAAACCAAAGCCAGCAAAGACAGAAGCCTAAAAGAAGAAGTTTTTACCTGTTGGATGGAGGGATCCTCAGCGATCACAGAGACMTGTGTGGCTCCTGAGAGCGTCCGTGCCTTCCTCTCGCCTGGCTCTTCTCCTCTTCCTCTGACGGARCTGTGTCGTCCTACTGCTCCTCATCCCGGCTGATCCTCGCTGCTGAGGATTTCGTCCTGAGGTCACCAATCCCCTGTGATGGGATTAAACAATCAGGGAGTTTAACTCCAGAACAGGAAGCAGATTCTGCTGATCTGTCCACAGACAGTAAAACAATGAGTTTTTAATCCTGACATCATCTCATAAACATGGAAATTGACGTGATTTGTTTGCTTTAACTGAGTTGGAGTTAATTAATCAGTGGCACCACATCCTGGTCGTTGGGGGGCCAGTGTCCTGGATGTTTTAGTTGCTTCATTGTTACCTTTTTTGTGTTTCTAAACAGCAGTTGGCTGTAGCAGCCATCTCAAATTGGGTTGACTCTAAATGGTAATTAATAGTAGATGTACACACATGAATTATTTTCTGAGAGTTTCATTTAAACTTGTCCACTACTTTACCCACAACACAAACATAATCTAATTTTCACCATTTCTAGCACAAACATCTTCATATTTTAATAAATAATGTGACACAACATGAGGAAAATGGCTTTAAAAATTAAGGTAATGCTTTTTTAATAATTGCACCCTATTTAGCCTTACTTAAGTATAAATCAATGGTTAGTAAACCTTAAAAACATTGTTATTTAGGGATTGTTTATACTTAATAAGCTATAAATTACCACATAATGCTTTACCCATAAAGGCTAAGTACTTCTAATAATAAAATAATTAGGTTTTCCATTGTCTCTACACTTAAAAACACATTTTATTTGGTGGCGTCTTTCTCAAAAATGAAAAAAAGAAAAGAAAAAAGATTTACTTGGTACAAACTCATGATTTTATGATTTCAGGTCGTTCAAACTTATCAATAACCTCCCAGTTCTTTTTCTATCACCTCTGTTTGACATTTGATGTAGGAAATGAGACGTCCATTGATCCAAAGCTCAACCTTCTGCAGGACTCACGCTAAGCCATTTTCAGGATCTGGGTCAAGATTAACCTGAGACACGTCACTGTGGATTAACAGTGTGGAGGTGAGCCTAAATGAGCAGCATCACTTTCATTTAAAACTCTCTGCTTTTTCACTTTTATACATGTGATTTACTTTGCAATTTATTATGACAGTAAATTATCACAAACAGTAAAATTATCAAACAAAAATAATGTTAAATGTGTGCTTTGATTGAAAAGGCATCTTGAAGTCATCGCTATAAGTCTTGATTATTTTTTAAACCAAAATAATAAGAAAGATACTAAATACCTATTAATAATACAATAAAGTTATGCAATCCAACTCATTGCCATTCACCAATAAGAATAGTTTGAAATTTTTTAATCACTTGCTTTTACCTTAATTTTTTTATATTGTTTAAATAAATCATCTGCTGTGGCATATTTATATTTTGTTGCCAATTTAAAATTATTAATTTTTGTATAGGTTTTTGAGGAAGAGTTGTTTTCTTTTGACGACTTGTGTAACTGCATTTTTTTTTTTATTCGCTAGATGGTGTAGAAGGAACGTAGAAAAACCTGCGGGTTGGCTCAGCCAATAGGAGGACAGGTTCAACCCGGAACTCAAAGTTTTCTTCAGAACAAGAGTTGCACATRAACCGTTTGAATGAAAAATGCTTTCTCTGCAACTGTAGAAAGGCTGGGTGCTTTTATTTTGACAACCAGCTGTGTTTTTGCCCGGAAGTGAGTCTGTCTTGTTTCTCGTTGGCGAACGGTGACGAACTTCAACCATGGCTGGTCCCAGTAGGAAGCAGATGCTTAGGTTTCTCGGCCAGCTTGGGGCTTTTATTTTGACCCGATTCGGGTTCTGGAACTGCTTCAGTATGCTAATGCTTTTTGCCGAAAGAGCGGACTCAAAAAGGTAAAACTATATGAAAATGAAACGCATATTTGGCTAAAGTTAGCTAACAAGCTAACGTCGATCATAACTTTTCATTTAGACTGCTAACAGCTAAGAGCTAACATATTGACAGGTGCTGTTAAAGCGATTGAAGGTAAAATTAAGTTAAGTTTTTTTGTTTAGTAACATACAAGCTTTCAGGGGAACTTAATTTAGCTAAACTTAGAAAATTCGTCGCTTGTTTCAGCTTAAAAGGCAGATAATAATGATTATTCTGTTTAATGTATGGTTCAACAAATCTTTCTAACATTTCCTTTTGTTAATTCAGTCTGTGGGTGGGTTCAAACTTACACATCCACACCCCCTTTATCCTGTAATTATAGCTGCTCCAGGGAAATAGGAAGCTATTTTTAACGCCTTCCTGTTCTTCTTGGCTTAGTTTCCCTTTATATCTATAAAATGAGAGCAAATAGGTTAACACTGTGTAGCTCATTATTAGGATGTTTTAGGTAAAGAATGTATGTCTGTGCCTGTGGATTTTCTTATATTATTTAGTTTGTATGTATACAAGCATTTTTATTTTTTGAATATTCATTGAACTAAATAAGTTCTCAGCTGAGACGGAAAAAATAGCCTTAGTATAAAACATAGGACACACTTTTCTTGTTTTTTCAATTCATAAAACTAAACTTTTTAACCGATGAATGAATAAATACATTGCCAGGAAGTTTAATCAGAGTTTGTTTTGATCCACATCCTCCAGAAAGCCAGACATCCACGTACCGTACCTGTATGTGGACATGGGGGTGGCRGTCCTCTGCGCCAGCTTCATGTCATTTGGCGTGAAGAGGAGGTGGTTCGCGCTCGGTGCCGCCGTTCAGCTGGCCGTCAGCACTTATGCTTCCTATGTTGGGGAGCAGGTGCATTATGGGGACTGGCTAAAGGTGAGTCTTTGACTTACCCAACTGGACCGACTTCATTGTGARGTTTTCCTTCCTGGTTGTGATCAAACTAAACTTTATAGCTCAGAGGGACCCGTAAAGCGACGTCAACAACATCAGGGCCTGTATTTATCAAACTTAAGTAGAATTTTAAACTTAAGTGCTTAGATTCTTAGATTTACTCCTACTTTCTGACTTAAGTGTAGAAATTGTTAAGACTTTTAAGTAACTCAAGTAAGGTATGGAATATAGTCATGCTCTACAAAATAAATGAGGGATAAAACAATTACACGTACCGTTGAATAATGCTGGACCTAAAGGTGGACATTTCTGTGTGCCTCTGAAAGCCACACAGAGAATAATAAACTGTCAGAGGGTGAGTAAAGGCAGGCTTCATGAGATGCTGTCACGAGTTTTTTTTTTCTTGTCCACACACTGGTTAAAGACTGAACTTCCCTTTTATTATATTTTCTTTTTTAAAACTCAACCTTGATGAAATCTGTATATTTCATTAAAAATAATTCCTAGTACAACCCCTGTTCTTTCTTTCTTCATTTCTCGTCTTTATTTGCACCCATCCTCTCTTATATGCAAGTTTGTTTTTTGAAATACGCCTTATTGTATGTACATTGTATAATTTTGTGTGTTCTTTAATTAAAAAAAGGGTTGTAAATCAGCTCTAAGACTGACACTAAGATGTAATCCTACACCTCGCTTAAAATGAGACTGAGATGCTTGATGAATGACTTTTAAACTCAGCCTTAAGCCCCAAAATTTACACTTATGTCTATTATTGACAGCATTCTTAAGAGTAATTAAGTTTGATAAATACGAGCCCAGAAATACAGCTCAGCTGGTACCATGGAGGAAAATAATTCTAAGAGTAATTAACAGCATACACAAGACTTTTTTTCTATTTTTTTATTTGAATTTTTTGTTATCAGCATCTCCAACACTGATACAGGAGTACAAAAAACAGGATGATAACTTACATTAAATTATTTAGCTGTAAGGAACTTAAAAATAAAGCAGTTTAGGTGGTATCTATGAGTTTTGCATGATATTGTGGCATGTATTTTTACTTTTATTTAAGCACAAAAATTTTTCTTCTCAACCTTTAATGGTAATTTTAAATACTTCTGTGTTTTATGTACAAGAGAAAAACAAAAGACAGGAAAGAGACATTTTATTTTTTTCATGGTTTTTAATCATGTCTGAGTTTTTGCAGTAGCAGTTTCTTGTAAATATATAAATATTGTATTTACAGCGGGTAAAATAAGTATTGAACACGTCACCATTTTTCTCAGTAAATATATTACTAGAGGTGCTAATGACATGAAATTTTCAC